GAGGGGGGGGGGTTAGACGATGAATTGTTTTTTATTATTCATGGTTCTGATACGAATTTCTTCATGTGGGATCTTAGAATTATTAAACATAGTTTCTCATCTGTGCACCTAAATATTTTAAGTGCACGCCTGCCACTTCATTCGCACCTCTATAATGGGTTTGGCTGTTGAGTATTTTTGTAACATTTATTAGGGGAGACCGGGGCTAGTTGGCCCAGTTAGACACTTTTAGCTTTGTAGAGCCAACTTGGAATCAGTTAGAGTAACAAAACCGGTTTTAAAGTAAGCCCCATGAACTACGCTACGTATGCATCGTCATTATTTTTCAAATATAATGCCAGATGGCTCACAATTTGACAAAAAACGCAGTTGACGTCAGGGGGGGCAACTTGCCCCGCCAAGGGGCAAGTTGGCCCCAGTGTCGGGGCAAGTTGGCCCCCTATACAAAAATGAAGTAAATTTACCATGTAAACGCCTTGAATTACATTTTTATACATTTTTAATTTATCAAATTGATTTTTGAGAGTCTATGATGAATAAACAGTTCAAATGAGGCAGATTTATTGAGGTTTCCGTACGTCACGTTGTAGGGGGGTCTATGTGTTGCAAGAACCAAAATATCTATCAATAGAATTGTTTTTTTTTAATAAAGAATAAATTAATAATGGTTTAAAGCAGGTTTTTAATGAATGAAAACGAATAATAAATTTTCGTTTTAAAAGAAAGGCACAAATTCTGTTTTAAACCATCGAGTTTGTTTTAACAATGGTCTCTAGCTCTGTTGCGCGCAAAGGTTTGTGGGTAATATGATGGTCCAACTTGCCCCGAGTCAAGGGGGCCAACTAGCCCCGGGTGCACACTTTTTATTTTAAATGATGGCAGCCATTTATGGTGCTAGAATGAGCAACGATGATACATCTCTGTGAAACTTGAAACAATGAGCTTCAGTTTGATGCCCTATACATATATTATATTTGATCAAAAGCCTATGAAAATAGATTTTTAAATCTCTTAAACGAAACCACTTTTAGGTGCAAAAATCGCTTATTTCGACTCACCGCTTAAGTAAAACTTTTTAACGTCCGACACTTCCTTAGCATTGTAGGCTACGGTCACTTTACAAGAGTATGTGGCCAATTTTTTTTACCTAGCTCGTAGTTACTGTTTCATAAATTGACGGGGGGCCAACTTACCCCGGGGTCCAACTAGCCCCGGCCTCCCCTACATCAAATTGACAAAATAACTTATTTTGTACATCATTTATTTATTTATTTATTTATTTATTTATTTTTATTTATTTTTATTTTATTATTATTATTTTTTTTTTTGCTTTTATGTCTGTACATTTGACAGCCAGGCCCCGTAACTCACCCTGAGATTCAGAGCTAACTTGACACTAACCTCTTCACTGTAGCCTATCTTCATCGTGTCAAGTAACTTGAAGAGGTAAGTAACTTGTTACTTGACACGATGAAGATAGGCTACAGTGAAGAGGTTAGTGTCAAGTTAGCTCTGAAGCTCAGGGTGCCGTAACTCGAAAGCATCGCGCATTGCGAATAGCGATATCACATAGAGGCTACAATCTTAATTATAAGGGGCGAGTATGGGCGAGTTATGGAATCGAGACGCTTGCGCTCGGTCGCAATGCGCAATGCTTTAGAGTTACGGGGCTCTGCATGCTGCCCTGTTTTCTCCCTAGATCTACGCCTTTCGGACACTAAATCCCCTAAAACAAAAAACTCAGAATATCATTTGTTACCAGTCTATAGGCACCAAGTATAATTTTGCAAAATGTCCTGCTTGTTGTTATTTGTGCATGACTCGCCCCTTTTTGCACCAAATTATTTTTGAGCGATCTTGTGTCAATGTGGTTTTATCGATGCGCAACACATGCCCTTTCTTGTGCAGTAAACAACAATACAACAATGGCGGAGAAGCGAAAAACGAGCACTGGAATTATTGGAGATGACAGAAATCAGGAGTCAGATAGGCACTTTTTAGGTATTCCTGAACACATAAGATATAACGACCTGATTCAACTATTACGTCGCCTGTTATTTGCTTCCCTACCCTCTATTTAAATTTAGATTAAATTTTGAAAACCACCGAAGGCAGCTGCCTCTTTTTAACACTCACACATTGGTAACTTGTATATTGTAATTTTTTTGAAACTAACGTTTTCATTCACAGAAAGGACAAGTGTGAACAACATTATAAAGGATATGCTAGCCAAAGTTTTAGAAAACAGGCCTGCAAACCCAGTTGTGTACATAGCAGAATAGTAAGTAACATTAGTCGTTACATACATGTACATTTACATGTACTACTTCTGTACTAGTAGCCCTGGGTCGAAATTAGAGTTAGTAGCAGTCAAATGCTGTTCGAAATTGTGAAAACGGGGAAAATGCTAACGTCTTTAAATTTTGTCGCAAAACTTTGCAAATTGGTAATGTACTGTAGGTGTAAGCTGTAAAGAAACCAATTCCTGGCATGCTGAGCCAAAAGCAAACTTCTAAATGGGCGAGGTAGGTCAAAGAATGGTGCAATATTTTCACCACCAGAGACCTTTGCTTAAAGAGACTCCTACCGATATGAGCAAAATTGAAACATATCCCAAACTTATTCTTACGTATGTAGGTCATGATCTAAAGCAAAATTGGCCTTTGGGATGGACGACAATTAAAAAAGTTAATTGTTTCAAATTCAAGTCTGTATTGCAGAATGTCTTCTCCCCAAAATAGAGAAGATGTCAACCGCAGGTGTTCTCACGGTCTTAACCAATCAGAGTGCACTGCCTGAATTAGCACTCGTACAAGGAGAAACAAATATGGCAGAGGAGTTCCAAGTAAGTCGTTTACAAATGCATGTTAGTTACAACACTCTCCCTTCATTGTTCATAAACATGTTTGTGCCTTTTAGCATTGAAGGAATTTATTTAAAGGTGCATACAAAGTCAATTTTTTATCACAAAAACCAACCAAATGCCAGCATAAAGTTTCAAGTAGTATAACTAAGAGAATTACCAAAAGGCATTGTTTAATTTTACCCAAAAATGATGTTTGAACGGATTTTTCTTCTGGTATCCTAAGCTGTATGTCAATGGGGCAGGAAAGTAGGTCACGAAAGTAGGTTAAAATTACAACCAGAAATTTAGAGAAAGGCGCAGTCTAAAGGCAGCGATACAGAAACGGCGCGACTTTGCGACATTTGACCCATAAATTTCATTATTGTCTCATAAAAAATGATCGTAATGCGACCAAACATGAGGCCAATGTCGCATAAATAGCATCACCTTTGCGACCAGGAAATCAGAAAAATACGTATATATTCAAATTTAATAAAAATCAGGAATGATCCAAATAGTTTAACAAAGTAAAAATCGTTCAGTGAGTGCGCAATATCACCTGAAACTGAGAGGGACTCAACAGCCAATCACATCGCACCTTTCAGTTATAGCGTTTAGCAACGCTTGCGAATTCAGCGAATCATGCTTCTTCTTGCATTCATCACAATTTTTCCTCCTCGCACATGGCGGAGCAAAGTGACAGTGAAACTGAACCTCGTGACCAGTCGGCTGCTTGTTTGCCTCGAAAACTTGTCAAACGAGTGTTCAATGAAACTTGGAAATCTAAATGGGCATGGCTAGAACACAAAGACAACCATATGTTTTGCACACTATGTGTAAAAAGCAAAAAAAAAGAACGTTTTTACTGAAGGCTGTAGCAACTTCAGAACCACGACTTTGGAGCGGCATGCTTCAGCAGCTGACCATCGCCAGTCGGTACAAGATGAAATCTCAAGGTCAACTCTATCAAGAATGGTAAAAAATCAGTTTAGTGAGAAGGACAGTGCCATAATCCATGCTCTACGAACAATATATTTCTTGGCAAAGCAGGATATAGCAACATCCAAGTACCCAGATTTTGTTGATTTTTTAATACAGCAAGGCTGCAGTGCTCTTGCAAAAAGCTACCAATCCTACACTATTACCAAAGACTTTCAAGAGAGAATATACGAAGTGATTCTCCGAGATATGAGAAAAAAGCTGACAGATGCCGACTATAATATATCTCTGTGCTTTGTGATGAATCATGTGACATTACTAGTACAAAAAAACTGAGTGTGTATGTGAGGATATCATCAGGCTGTAAACCAGAGACCATTTTCTTAGAGAATTGTGAAATACTGGATGGGAAAGCAGACACCATTGCAACATCTGTCAAAAATCTCCTGACAAAGTTTGAAATGCTGCCTGATAAGGTAGTAGGACTAGGAAGTGACGGTGCATCGGTCAGTATTGCATAATATTATCAAGAAACAATAAATAAAAAACAACTGGTGTGAAGTTGATAAATAGAATAAATTAAATAATGTACTGGATATATAATATATTACAAGGAAACAATTAATAGAATAAATATTTGAAATTTCATTCATGAATTTTATTTAGTCAGGATTATAATTATTACTGTCAGTCTGTTATATTTATGAAAAATTCCAAAATATTAAATAGTTTGGAAACTTTTTAATAATGAAATAAATTAATAGTTTCAATTTTTCTAAAATATTGGTTAGTTCATCAGATGTTGATATGGAAAAATTAATTTCAATCTTTATCTCATCAGGTTATGACCGGAAAACACTATGGAGTCGGTACAAGACTAAAAAGAGAAATAAATCCACAGCTCATTCAACTGCACTGCATTGCTCACCAACTTGCACTGGTGTCTAGCCAAGCAGCCAGTGGAGTGCCATATTTGAAGACCTACCAGGAGTTCATGACAAATGTCTACTACTGGTTCAAACACTCCGCCAAGCGCATTTGTGGACTGGCTTTCTCTACAGGATGTATTAGATGCTCCCAAGATCAGGATAAATGAAGTACATTCTGTCCGTTGGTTTAGCTTTTATAACAGTCTAGATGCATTGTATCGCTCTTGGCAATCTTTGGCAATGTTGTTTGAGCAATGTTCATGAGAAATGCCATTGTGGTTTTGCTTTAAACATACCAAGAGCACTTCTAAAGTCAAAATCCTGAGAAAGGGGGCCATTTAGTTTTATGGCGATCAACATTTGTAAATTTTCACTGATCAGTCTATTTCTAAGGCTAGATTTGATTATATTTTGAGCACTAAAGCCACGTTCTACGTCTGCAGTATGCACTGGGAGGGCAAGTGCTATGCCAGCCAATTTGCACAAGTTAGGGAAATTGTCCTTGTGAAATACGTTGATAATTGCCCAGAGTTCTTTCATACTGTCACAAAAGTAAGTGTTTGCCAGGACCAATTCCTTCAGTATTGCCCATCCTGTTTTACCACATTGCCATCAACATACTTGTCATTTGTGGTGTAATGACATTACATTACTTTATTGACATTACTACATTGACATGACATTAATAATGTCACTTCTGGTAATCATGCCTAAGAGTGTTTCAAGGAGCAATTTTTTATGTACAGACACAGATGTGTCTGTACATATAGCCATCATCTGCGTCTGTCGCCGTC